ATCACTTTCCACATTTTAAATCAAAGGTTGCCAGTACTTGTCTCTGCACAAGCAGGTAGATTACCTTCCTTTTACAGTGTTGCGATGCCACTTGTGCAAGGTCACTGTCAAAGAAGAAAAAACTGAGGCTATAAAGCAAAACGAAAAGTTTTTTGGGTCTTAGGAGTTGAAATTCGAACACCACCGATTCAGGAGGAGCCTGAACTGTGCTCCAGGTTGAAAGAGAGAAAGATAGGGTTTATAAAGGCAAAACTGCAGGCTCACATACTTGTTTTGAAAGAATTATGACTGGCATAGGTAATAATAGCTGATGTTAGTATGTATTGGATAGGTTACTCTGCTCATTGCTAGGTTGGAGTTCAGTGAAATAAGCCACAAGAAGTACAACAAGATGTAGCCCTTTTTGGTGGGCACAGTGTGAAACTCCATCTTCCATCGCTGTGGACGTGCATAAGCTAGCTTCTCCCATGGTCTCCTGGCTCCAATTCAGGGTTCTTAGCTTTAGTGACTCCATGTCATGTTTCTGTTCACATCGTTTGTGCCATATCACTTGTTCAATGACACTTGGGCATCTCGAGGAAAAGTCCTCTTAGTGTCAAGTTCAAATGCCTTCCCGTTTTGATATTTTGCAGCCAGGCAGGAAGCGTGCCATGGTTCACCCAGCTCGGGCTTGGAGCATGCCAGAAACCACCCTGCAACCAGGGCAGGTGTGTGGGTGTGCTCACGCTGCGGTCAGAGAGACAGGCTAGAGTGGGGGTGTAGGCAGGGATGCTGGGCCACAGCCTGCATCACTCTGGGAACCAAATGGAAGTTCCTGTAAGTGTCTCCCACACAAGTGCCGCAGCCAGATTTAGCAATGAAAAATATAGGACACCAGTTAAATGTGAATGAGTTTGGAGTTAAGTAAGTTCCAAATCCTTTGTTTCTGCCTGAAATTCAAAGTTCCTTGGCATATAGTCTAGATCACTGGCAGTCCTCAGCTAAGACNTCCTGCCTTTGAGGAGAGTGTAGTGGGGCCCATACCTGGTTCTCAAAGACCCCTTTTTTAAAGGGCATAGGTAAGTAAGTCTGTGTTCCTTCCACTTGGTAACAGATGTAGCAGCCAAGCCGTTTTCTGGGGTTGGGCAGGTTGTAAAAGTGGAAGTAGAAATAGTCACGATACAACTGGTCCATTGGGCTGCTGGGGCAAAAGTGAAAACAGAAAATGCAGAGAGCGCTCCCTGGAGTTTCTCCATTTGGTGTCTCCTGAACCCAGCCCCCTGTACCACCTGGGCGCTGTGCCTTTCCCAAAGATCTTGGGTCCGGAGTATTTCCTGCTGCCTCCCAGGCAGGAAGACGGGGAGAGCGAGAGGAGAGGGGTCAGGGACAGCAGGGACCACAGGTCCTTTCATAGGACCCCAGGCTGTGCTCCTTCCAACTGCACACCTCCAGCCCCACCCAGATTCCTATGCACCCATCCCCCAACCACTTAGAAAAATAGAAATGAGTAAAAAATAAAATAGAAGCTTTTCATATTTCCATTCAATTCATGCTTGACTTCTCACCTATGCATGTTTATTTGTTTTTAAATATCAGGTTGACACCTGCATCACAGGCTGTGGCTACTGTTCTAAGTGTTGTATGTATCTGAACTCATCTACTCCTCCCCAAATCCTAGGGGACCCATCTCATAGAATAGAGGAGGAAGAGGGGAGTAGCCTGCCTGAGGCACAGGGCTGGTAAGTGATGGACCTGGTCCCCTGTCCAGGCACAGCCATGCCCGGCTGTTCCTTCATGTGACCTGGCAGCACTGTGCTGTCTTGGGTGTGGCGCTGTTTTCTACTTAATTGTCAACTATCAGCATTTCTCCTGCCCCAGGCGTCTTTTCCACAGGTGCCGGCTAGTGGTACAGTGATCACTTGTAAAGGTTGTGGGTGTGTCTGGGAACAGCCTGTATTTACTTTTCTGCTCACAGATGTCTGCAGACATCCTTGGAACAGATAACTTATCTTCTTGCCCCAGACAGCTATTCTCACACTGTGTGTGTAACAAGGTCAATAGAAGAGCAAATCAAAGTGCTTAAAACTAAATTCACCAACTGCTTCATTCACCCTTTAGTCCAATTCTAATTGTTAACAGAGCACTGGAAAGACCTCGGGGCAGGCAGACCCCCAGGCAGGGAGGGAACAGTCCAGCCCCATAAACTTGCAGACTGAGCAGTGGGCCAGGACAGCAGGGCTGGGTGGAGGTACGGGAAGGGCCATTCAGAAGCAGTAGTGTGGGCATCCCCAGAGCAGGGCAAAGACCCCCAATGGGGTAGGTCCTGCAGAGAAAGAGCCCAGAGAGGGAGAGAAGCCAGGACCCACCGTGAAGGAAGGGGCTGCAGAGAGGGGGCACAGTGGGACAGAGTGGGCAGCAGTACCTGGTCCAGGGCTTCCGGGTGTAGCATTTTAGCCAGGCTTTTGCCTTTTTCCTCAAGTACCGGAGATTCATTTCTTCTCACAGGGCCCCTGCTTTAGAAAGTCCCTTGTCGAAGCACCTCCCAGCCTTCTCAGCTGAGGCCCCACCTCCTTCCTGCTTTGGCAGTAGGGGTGGTAAGTGCCTCCTCAGGCTCACAGCCACCTTCTCTCCTTCCCTGGGGCCCTCCCTCTGGGCAGAGCTGGACCTCTGGTGGAGACAGGCCCCTCTGTGCAGCAGGACCCACGGTGACTGCAAAGGGAAAGTGAAAGTCACGAGGACAGAGAGAGGAGGATGGGACAGGCCCTGCTGAAGAGAGCAGGACAGAGACCCAGCTCCCCTGGGGAGGGGCAGGCTGGAGCCCTCTCCACACCACCTGGCACCCAGCCCAAGGCTGTGCCCAGGGCATGCTCTGTCCCTGCCTGCTGACCGATGGAAGTGATGGGAAAACGTGCGCCTTGAATCAGGACTCCCGTGTTCTCCCCGGACACAGCACAGGGAAGGGACACACGTGCTTGGAGTTCCTAGTCCTGTGCTGGGTCCTCTGCATGAGCCCCCTTCAGCCTTCACATGAGGAGCCGGGGATCAGCAAGCTCTATTCTGTCTTCCTCTTCTTTTTAGGACACATATCCCCTGATTGGGGTCCCACTCTGGTAACCTCGTCTAAACCGAATCACCTCCAAAGGCCCCACCTCCAAACACAATCACGTGGAGGGCGAGGCTTCAATCTATAAATTTGGGGGACACTCAAGTTCAGCCAGGAACTGAAAGTGTTCCCTGGCTAACTCATCATCTGGCCGCACAGTGGGGTGGGTGCTGCNATTCTTAATTTTTCACTTTATTGCTTTTTAATTAAAACTATTAGAATAATTATTTCTCTAAAATAAAAATCTCTTCTGATAATATTGAGTAGACTCTTACTTATATATATTTGGAAAATAGCGTAGATTTTAAATGAGAAATGAATGAGACCAGCTTGCTCAACCGAACGTCCCTGGCTCGTCAGTCAGGAGCTCACCAAATGGGTCCCTGAGAGGCTTGGGTGGGAGACGAGAAATAAAAGAAAAGAGACGAAGTGCGGGGACAGGAGGGACTCAGTCTGCTGGTGGCAAAACTGAGGCCTCGTTTATTGGGCATACAAGATTCTTAAGGGGAAGCGATTTCCTCATTTTAGGGAAACTAAAACCCTAAAGCTAAAACTCATGGGCTGAGGAGAAACAATTTCTCCTCAGCAACAAACTATGTTATACACAATATAAAGCAATGATATAGCTAGGCAAGGTGAAACTGAGGCAAATAGAAACTGTGTACAAGTCCACAGTAGAAAGTCCCAAGCATGTGAAGCAGCAGGTCCGTGGTGGAAAGTCCCAGAGTGGTGATGTATGTTGAAACTGCAAGTCCATAGTCCCCACCAAACTGCTCCAAAGCCGCTCACCCCAGGCCTGTATCTACCTGGAGACCCAAGCTTGCCTAAAGCCTCAGTGTCCCTGGCTGATCCCAGCCAGCTCCCAACAGAGAAATAAATCTATCAGATAATTTTTAAAAAACAATTTCTTATGAACACATTGCTTTTTGCCAGGTTTTGGGAATCAATCTGGAGATATCGATGAATAGTGAGTTTCCATTTCTTTAAAAGTGTTTTATTCTGCTGTTACACAGAGGTCTTCTGCCTTCTTTAGAGAGATTGAAGTCCGTCCTTCAGTTTTCCTGAGTGTAGATCGAGAAGGCAGAGTTGAAGGGAGCAGGGAGTGGGGCAGTTGGAAAGATGAGCAGAGAAGAGGTCTGGGGCAGTTACCAAGATGGGAAAGGAAGGAGGGACACAAGGAGGGGAGGAAGCAGAGGGACCCTGGGAGAGGGGACGGCAGGGATGTAGCTGGTGCCCCAGAGGAGGCCCTAAGCAAAGGGAGAGAAAGGCCCAGGGAGAGACAGTGAGGAGGGATAAGGGGGTGGGGGTGGGAGGACTGGGGAACACGGAGGGAAGAGCCTCACCTGGAGAATCTGCCATAAAGCCGTAGATAGTTCCTGACAATTTTCATCTATGTCAGCCCAGGGGAAGAAGGGTGTTCCCTGGTGGTCCACAAAGGTTTCCCAGCAGTGCTCAAACTCTGAAAGGGACAAGAAAATAGAGGTGAGCTCCCGCTTTAGGGATGAGTGAGGGGCCACAAGGTGTCTGACTCTTAGGGACACACTCGCCCCATCATAACTTCACTGCCTCCCCTTTCCTCCCGCCAATTCTTTCTTCCCACTGGAGTCTGAGGCGGCCCAATTCTCCTCCTTTCTGGAAGCCCCTCCCTGCATAAGTACCCACCCTCCCTGCCCTGCCCAGGACCACCTCTCCCCGCTGAACTCTCTCTCCCAGTAGACACCCCAGTCCTCTCCAGGGCCCAGCATCACCTCTGCAGACAGCAAAGAGAGGCTCCCTCTCACTCTCCCCAGGGCAGTCTAGGTACCCGCTACCTGGTTCTAGCTGCTCCCATATCCCTGCAACCGCTGCCTCTGCTCTCACCTTGGAAGGACATGACTTCCACCTGGGCCCCTGCTTGAGACAGCCTGCGAAGCCCCTGCTGGTGCTCTGCATCCTTGGAGTAATAGAGGCGGGCTACGAAGATCCTCAACTCCATGTTCTCGTTCTCCTCCAGGAACTCGATCACATCTTTCACACAGTCAACACAGGGGCTCCAGGATGTGTACCAGGTGACACGGTATTTCTCACCAGGGAACAGCTCTCTGTCTAAGAANATCCACACGTGGAACATTATGCAGCCTTTTGAATATAAGATGCACTCGTTCCAATACATGAATATTATGAGTTGGCTTACGATGTATGTTTAAGGCTTGGGGAAATGTTTATGACATGCTATGGGGAGGAGGCAAGCAGGACTCCAACTTGGCACAGTATGTGGGCACAGTATGGTTTCAAGTGCAGGACCGTTTGTGACCTTTTAGCCAGGAGTCGGCCCTGTTTTCAGGGCTGTGCCTGTGTTCACCCATTTTACCCTTCACTCACCTGCACTCAATGCTGAGGCACAGAGAGGCTTAGTCAGTACACTGAGGTCACACAGGTAAGAGGAGGAGGACAAGGAGCTCGGAGCTGAACCCAGGAAACCTGTGCCCACAGCCCATGCCTTTGATGGCTATACTCTACTGTTCTTGAGGTAAAAATATTGGGCAGAAAAAAAATCAGGCAGAAGAGGCACAAGAACGTTCCTAGGCTTACTTCTGAGATGGAAGTCAGGCAAGAATGATTTTGCTGACTCAGGGCTCACAGGAGATGGGGCCGGGGCGGTGGCGGTGGCTGTCTTGTTTCTATTTCTTACGTTGGTGTGAGTGGGCACTTGGTGTTCACATAGCATCATATTTAAAACGTATAAACTGAAAAAAATGCTTTCTATATTGAATATTTAGTTAAACAATGTGAAAAGCATTTTAGTGGTACCCTTATAATTGGAATGAGAGTACTGTAGATTGTAAATATGGGAATGTTCCGTCTGTGAAATTCGAGGTCAGGTTAACTTCCTCTCTGGAAAGTAATAGTTTCCTAATTGGAGACCTTATAACTTCCTCTTCCTCTACAAGGGAGCTTTTTTGTTTTGAAACATTGTACCTGAGCTATGGATATTGCGTGTTAAATTGCATAAATCTTTATACTTTAACATAAATCTTGGTAACCCATTTCAGACTTTCTTCAATCATCGAGGCGAAGTGTTAGAGTGGTGCCTGGCTGGTTCAGATGCCAGCTCTGCTTTGTGACGCTCACCCTGAACGTCTCATTCCCTCAGTGGAGGTGAGGATGACTGATGCTTCCTGCTGGGCTGTGACTGGGAAGGTTTAACTGTTCAGGCAGGAGGTGGAGAACCTGGTGGATGGTCAGCGCTCAGCGAATGTTGCTTGTTTCCGCTTATTTCTGCTTCAGTTTGACTCCTTCAGTTTACAACGCAACAGTGTCATGATGGCCCCGTGTCAGCTCCCAGGTCATATGGTTACACACGCTCAAGCACCACGGGCAAAAACCAAAGTTCAGAAACAGCAGGAACGTGGAGGAGGGGATGAGAGTGTCAAGGGTGGCACAGGGTCCAGCCCAGGGGACTGCAAGTGTCCAGCTGCCCTGGGACCATCATCTAGGAGGAGAACGCACAGCCTAAAACCAGGGTGCTACCTCTCAGATCCGGCTGGTCAGGCACCTTTCTTTCTTTCTTTCTAAAATTTTTATGTTTAATTTTAATTGTACAGATAAAATCATACACAATTATATTAATTAAAATGGCAATTTAAAACCTCACAACAGCCTGGTGTGCTCATAGACCCGATGACATCCGGATATATAGTAGGTCGCACCTGGTTCTGATTTGGATCTCTGATATCTCTGATTGTGTGTGCTGGGATCACGGTCTCGCGGAACGGAAGGATGGAGGCGCGGACCAGAGAGGTAAGGTTTGCAGAAAAGGACAGTTTATTAAAGAAAGAGTTACAGCTCTCAAAGTGAGAGGGGATACCCGAAGCTGGGATGCCCACTAGCTAAGGCGAAAGGCTTTTGCTTTTATACTTTTTCTAGCATACCTGGGGAGGAAAGCTGGCACCTACTGGTACAGATTTATCAGATCTACTCTGTTGCTTGGCCTGGAGGAGGTTTTCTCGAAACAGCCTAGCTGACCCAGAGCGTAACTGATGTCTCTGTTCTGGCGGGAGTGTGTTATCCCAAAGCTGGGGGCTTTCACGGCTGAGACTGGGGCTTGGAAGATACCATTGTCTTCTGCTCACTCTACTAGGGAATTCCTGACTGCCTGATGTCACACTAACTAGCCTGCCTCAGTTCCTGCACATGGAGCCCTTTAGAGGTAGGGGAAGCACAGCTATTGGGGACCTGAGACCCTCACCCAGAGCTCTGGGGCTCAAGATATCCAGGCACATTGGAAAAGTTACAAATCAAGTTAAAAAAAAAAGAGGACAGCCATCAAAATTGAACAAACGAGACTTTCAAGGGATATCATTCAAAGATGAAAAATAACAGTGCATCCTTTAGGTAAATTTTATGTATGTGCATTTATCACAATAAAAAAAATACGTATATACTTTAAAGGCTGCGCAGGGTGCCTAGTGCTAGTTGAACATATGTTCAGACAGCATAAGGAGAGCGTGCAGGGTCGGACATTTGATAATACAGAAAAAAACATTTCAGCTACAAGAGAATGAGAGCTAAACCCTTCTAAAAACTGGACGTTCCCGACTTATTAGATTCAATACTCATTTCCCATCCAATTGAATGCTCAGCGTTAATGAAGTTGATGTGGGATTCACACCAAGTGATTTCACCTTCTTTGCATCAACAACCCAAGATGTGCTCTACAGATGCATGAATTCTTTTTTTTTTAAGGTGTTTTTTTTTTTAATTGGGGAATTGGAGAAGGGGAACAGTGTTGGGGAATTGGGAAAGGGGACCAGCCAAGTTATTGTCCTTTTGCCTTAGCTGTGGAGGGCACCGCTAGCTCAGCTCTAAGTCCAGTCACCACCCGGCCGCCTGTGAGCAGCCCAGGGCCGCTCAGCTCAAGGTGCTGTGCTCAACCCCAGCTGTGGGGCGTAGTAGCCCACCATCCCATGCAGGAGTCGAACCGGCAACCTTGTTGTTAGGAGCATGTGCTCTCACCAGCTGAGCCATCCTGCCACCTGTTGGCAGCGCAGTGGCAGCTCAGCTTGGGTGCAGCTCACTGGCCCGTGTGGGAATTGAACTGGCGACCCTGTTGCTCAGAGCTTGCGCTCTTAACCAACTAAGCTACTCGGCCGGCCCAGATACATGAATTCTTTTTTTTTTTTTAAAGATTTTTATTGGGGAATTGGGGGGATGGGAGCAGCGCTGGGGAATTGGGGGAAAGGGAACAGACAAGTTGCTGTCCTTT